GGACTCCCAAACTGCGGACCTGTGACTTCAGGGGGAGTGTAACCCCATCCAGCACAGGTTGCCACCCTATACTCTAATCCGGTTTACGATCGACCAGGAGGACCTCTGTCTTGTCGGGATTGATCTTCAGCTTGTTCCTCCTCATCCAGATAGCCACAGCGGCCAAGCACTCGTCCAGCACTCAATTGGACTGCATCGCTCTTGTGTTTTTTTCCAAACTATGATTCTATGATGTATATATGCATAACAGTTAGTGTGGACTGAGCATTGAACTATGTCCCTGAAGATCAGAGTTCAAATCCCTACTAGGCCATGAAAACCTACTGTGTGATCTTGGGCAAGATACTCTCTCTCACCATCACAAGAAGGCAAAATGTGATATACTGTTCAGTTTCTTTGCTTATAATCTCTAAAAAAGTGTTTTCCATTTTAAGGAATTTAAATAGTGGTCTCTGTGAAAAATGGGAATACCGAGTACTTTATTTATTTATTTAAAACTTTTATATCTTGATCTTCTCACCTCTGTAGAGGGACTCAGACTGGCTTACAGCAGGGATTCAATGCTACTAATACAAGTTAAAACATCATACAACAATACAAGATTAAAATACATATAGATAAAATACATATATACCAAATCGCCAAGGTAAAATCATGTTCAACTCAGTCCGCATATGTGGTCAAATCTATATATAGCTTCAGCTTCCTTTATCTGAAAGAATACAAAATCTGAAATGTTTCACATGGCTGATTGAGAGAGTGATACCTTTGCTATCTCAAATGTGTTAAATGCATACAATTATTAGAAATAGTGTGCATAAAATTATCTCTAGGCTAAGTGTATAAGATATGTATGAAACATAAATGAATTTTGTATTTAGACTTGGGTCCTATCTCCAAAATATCTCATCAGTAAAGTGGATCCTTGGTCTGGTTCCAGGCTACCACTCCTCACATAAGAGTGGCATGGTAAAATTATAAAGAGTGGCCTTAAATAATGTGCTTTATATAAAATGGCAAAATCAAGGTTGCTTTTGGGATTTTCAAATAAAATGTTTTCAACTTATGGATGCAGGATCAGTGTATACCAGAGGTCCTCAAACTAATGCCCGAGGGCCAGATACAGCCCTCCAAGGTCATTTACTCGGCCCTTGCTCAGGGTCAACCTAAGTCTGAAACGACTTGAAAGCACACAAAAACAGCAACAACAATCTTATCTCATCAGCCAAAAGCAGGCCCACACTCCTCATTGAAATACTAATAAGTTTATATTTGTTAAAATTGTTCTTCATTTTAATTATTGTATTTTTTTAAAGTGTTTTTTTTGCACTACAAATAAGATATGTGCAGTGTTTATAGGAATTCGTTCATTTTTTTCAAATTATAGTCCGGCCCTCCAACAGTTTGAAGGATTGTGATGTGGGAACCCAGACGCCTTAAAGAGCCAGACTCAGGTTTATTTCCAAAAATAGAGTTTATTTAACAAAACAAAAGAGACTCAGAAGTATTTCCCGACTGCTAATCCCCGTTACCAGAAAACCCCACAAATGTGTCACTAGATGTTGGCTCTGCACATACATCTTGTACCTTTTGTACCTTAGTCCAGTCCAATGTGTCATCCTCACTTTCATCACTCTCTAACCCATCACTCCCAGAGAAACCTGCAAATGACTCTTCATCTGTGGGAGCAGTAAGTATATCCCGGATCTTCTTCCTTTGTCGCTCCTCAACCGATTCTTGCTCCCAACGAACCCTTTTAGTTCCCCTATTCACATCTGTGACCCCCTTTATCCAGGGTGTGGTGTACATTGGCGGCATGTAGCTGATACAGTTTCAAGTAGTCTTGAAGTTGTATTAAATGGTCAGGCTACAATGGGGCATTAAAAAATTCATTTTATGCAATTTTACTTTTTTATGTCTAGATTATTCTTGCATGGGTTGTGCATGCACCCACACAAAGAATTCCTATACAGAAATTTCATAACAGTAAGCAGAGTTGAGGTAAAACTTCATGATTTCCTAGAATATGTGCAAACTTTAACAGCAGAATAAATTTTGAACACTTTATTTCAGGTAAACATTTCTTCATATAAGTGACTGAATTATTTTCAGGATGTATTGTTGAAGGCTTTCATGGCTGGAATCACTGGGTTGTTGTAGGTATTTTTTGGGCTATATGGCCATGTTCTAGAGGCATTCTCTCCTGATGTTTCGCCTGCATCTATGGCAGTGGTTCTCAACCTTCCTCCTCATATTGTGATGACCCCCAACCCTAAAATTATTTTCATTGCTACTTCATAACTGGAATTTTGCTACTGTTATGAATCGTCATGTAAATATCTGATAGGCAGGATGTATTTTCATTCTCTGGACCTTGGGAGTTGTAGTTGCTGGGATTTATAGTTCACCTATAATCAAAGAACATTCTGAACTCCACCAGAGATGGAATTGACCCAAACTTGGCACACAGAACACCCATGACCAGCAAAAAATAATGAAAGGGTTAGGTGAGCATTGGCCTTGAGTTTGGGAGTTGTAGTTCACCTATCTCCAGAAAGCACTCTGGACACAAACGATAGATCTGGACTAAAATTGGCATGAATAATCAATATGCCCAAATGTGAACACTGTTGGGAGTTTGGGGAAAAAAGACCTTGACGTTTGGGAGTTGTAATTGCTAGGATTTATAGTTCACCTACAATCAGAGAGCATTCTGAACCCCACCAACAATAGAATTGGGCCAGACTTCCCACACAGAACTCCCATGACCAGCAGAAAATACTGTGTATTCTGATGGTCTTTGGCGACCCCTCCAACACCCCATCGCGACCCCCACAGGGATCCCGACCCCCAAGTTGAGAAACACTGATCTATGGCAAGTATCCTCAGAGGTAGTGAGGTCT